CTCTATTGAATAATATTTTTTTAAATGTATAAGCATCACCTTATCCAGTCAAATGGTATTGTGATTTAACTATAGGAGGTCAAAGTACACAAAAATTGATATACAGTCAGAGAGGAATTGGAACCTCAAAGGAGTCAACATAAAAAACTAACACAACAGTCCCTCTACAGGCTCAGCTTAAGAAAGCCAGACATAAAGGTGAAGATGCAGTGACCATGTCTACATGCCTCCTGAAGAGAAAAACAATAGCTTGAAATGTACTACAATTACCACCACTTCCTCCAGGAAGTCCAGATAGGCATCAATTACCATACTCAATGACCAGAACAACTGGACTATTGTTCCCACAAAATGCCTTTGCTCTTTCAACATGCTTTTTCTGGGTGACTTCTTCCCAGGTTAAATAATATTAGTTAAGCCACTCACTACAAGCTTATAGGTTGATTGTAGTTTGGGACTCACACTGTAGCCACATTGTGACTTTGCTGCATAAGTGACCCCTGACAATAGGTCTGTGACTTAAACACTGAAGAGCACTCCTGAAAATCCAGGGCTATTCTTCCCTCTTTTTTCCCAGAAAATTTTTGAACTTCTTTTGGTTTGTGACTTCATTCCTTAATGTTGTGAGCCAACAAACTTGGTGCATTTGACATCAAACAGGGCAAGATTATATTTGTCCTATTTCCATTTGAATATCAAACATCTGCTAAATGTCCCAAAACCTTTGCATGAAGCTACTTGCTTGATCTGCATTTTTAAAGACATATTTTGTCTTGAGGCCTGGCCCATAACAAGAGGTATCTGTCTCCCCCATTGCTGCAAGGTGTCTGGGCTTCTGCACTGGCCACTTCTAGGACCTGATCCTGTCTCCCTGGCTAATATTTCTAACTAACTCAGCTGCCTGTAACAATAGGGCTGGGCCCTCAATAGAGCCAGAAAATAAGTTCAGATTGCTTCTAGCATTGAAAGAGACAATCACCTCCTGCTGTGGGCCAAATCTCAAAAGAAAAGGCAAGGAAATGCAACCAAGTGCTAAGAACCAACAGTTCAAATAGTTCTCTGGGCACCCTGAGGAACTCAAGAGTCACCATCCCAACCCCCTACAGGAAGTGTCCCTGCTCTTAAACAGGCCCACTTAGTATGTGACTTTCTCTCCCATTTGCTCCCAATTTAATCAATTTTACCTGAGCAATTAACCTTATCGTTGACCACAGTCTTATCCCGCCTTATGCTGTTAGGGCCGCCGCCGCAGGGAAAGAGACCCCAAGGACTCAACTCTTGGTGAGGGAAAAAAAGTTTATTTCCATGCGCATGGGATCCTCCAGGCAAACGAGTGCGGAGGGCCCCGAGGGGAATTTGTGCAGGGTTTTTAAGGGCACAAGCGGGAAGCAAGCAGGTTTACAGAAGCAGATCGCATTGGTTAATTTTGAACGATGCAGGACTTTGGCAGATGCTGATTCAAGGGGTCTGGGGCTGAGTAACCATGGAGACTGAGGGTCCTGGTCTGATCTCAGAGTGCCAGGTATAACTCGGTCTCATTTGAACAGCACATTCCTTTACTTATCTTTTCCTTTACAGAGGACAGAACATCTTGTGTTTAATGACTAGCAAATGCATTCCTTCCTGTCCTGCTCCGATATCTCAAGGAGGAATTAGGGAGTGAGACATTCCTTACAGCTCCGTTCTATAGCTTGGGGGGGGGTACATCACAAACAGGGAGTCGATTCTTTCATTCCCCCCTTTTTTTTTTGCAAATGACTTTTAATCTTAAAGGTCCTGTATGGGTAAGGGATCATATTGTTGACGTAGCACCATAACTTTTACTTGAGAAATCTGGGCCCTCACAAACCGGGTTACTCGGTTAATGAGGCAAGGGGCTATAGCTATGACTATAATGAATCTGGCCAGGGGTCCCAATAAAGGGAGAATATAGGGCAGGATTGATTCCCAGAAAGAGGACACTTTGGCTTCACTTGAAGGGGGCTCTCGAGATCTGATTCTCTCTCTCAACTTTTCCATTGCATCTTTTACAATCCCAGTATGATCAGTGTAAAAACAACATTCTTCTCTAAGTGCGGCACAGAGACCCCCTTCTTTTAAAAACAAAAGATCTAAGCCTCTTCTGTTTTGTAACACTACTTCAGATAGAGATGAGAGAGATTGTTGTAATGCAGTTATAGATGTCTCTAGGGCCTGTAGATCCTGGTTCACAACTGCAAGAAGCTGCTCGCGGGACTGGTGCCCAATAATGAGGGCTGCTGTACCAGTTCCTATCCCCCCTGCCACACCTATCTCTAATAAGACTGCCAGGGTCAGGGAGACAGGTTCCCGTTTATATCGACCTTTCATGAGGGGGAGCATGTCAGGAGGGAGATACTTAATGCGTGGCATAAGGTCTATGAGGATGCAGGAGCTGTCCCCTGCAAGGAGTACATTTGTGGAAACACAAGGGGTGAGCCCCGTAGTACATAACCAGAATGTCCCAGTGGGAGGGATGAGGTACTGGTTTCTGGGGAAGGAGCGGGTATGTGTGAAGCAGTGATGGCTTAGGTCTGCAGGCCAATTATCAAGTGTTCCTATACAGGTTCCTTGGCTAGCGAGGCCAGGTAAAGGAAGGGTGTGGAACACATGATCCCAATCGCACTGGTCGGAATTGGGGGTCAGTGTATAGGAATCATTTAGAGCAGTCCCCTCATAATATGGAGGGTTAGCACTTAGACATAACCAACAAGCTTGGGCTAGGTCTGGATGGGTAAGATTAAGGGCTTTATGAGCCCCAAGTATAAGGCTAAGAAGAGAGCTCACGGTTGGAGGGACGAGTCCCGACTCAGGAGGATTAGTTAAATCCCCGGAGGGGGTGCGAGGTGAGGTCATGTGTTCTCGATTTTGGGTAGCCTTAGGCCCCGGGGATAAAAGTCTTTTAGCAGTTGTTGGGGCCAGTGGTGGCGGGGAAGGCCTTGTTTCCGGTTTTAATTCCTTTTTGATAAACAAATATCCCCCTGAGTCTTTTCCACTTTGATAATATCTAAACCCCCAAGTTTTTCCTGTGATCCATGAAGGCTCTTGGGGGGTGAGGACTGTGAGTTGTAGGTATAGGCAGGGTCCAGGTCCCTGGCTCGACTCGGCGTTCAAATCCCTACCATAACAAGTGGGGGGCTTTGGGCGAGCTCCAGTCAACCTTGAAAGACTAATGTGTTGGTCCCTTATGGTGGGTGTCCACACAGTGGCCACCGTCTCACATCCCCAGTAAGCACAGTAATACTTTCCTGGGGAGTTACAATAGGTTCTTTCTTCTACTGAAGTTGGGCATAGGTAAAAACCCTGAGATGGATCCATACAGGGGGCTTGAGGGACAATATCGCAGGAAAAGAAGGCAAAAGTGGGATTACCTGATCCTTCCCACTTGCCGACCACCTCTTGGTTGTCCCACTTAATCAATGACCAGATCCAAGGGCAGTGGGGGTTAGCTATTGTAGGGGTGACTAACACTAACATGAGTATTTTCATTATAGCCCAGGGGGTTAAAATCGGGGGTTTTTGCTGGGTCATCTTGCAATAATACACAAGGGGAGTGTATAGAAACAGCATCAAAGAGTCTTTCGGCTCAGTTTAAGTTTCAAGGGGTTATCAGACCGTTTGAGTTCCCAGGAGCCGTCCTCTGGCGCCGAAGCAGGCTTTAGATGTGACGTGTGGATCCAAGAGGCGATTCCATCAACCTTTACCGCTGTAGGAGTAGTTAACAGAACCTGATATGGTCCTTTCCAGCGAGGCTGCAGAGTCTCTTGTTGGTGGCGCCGGACGAACACAAAGTCTCCCACTTGGTACGGATGTGGTGCAGGGAACTCACTGGGGGCGTAGGCCGAGGCTAGCTGCGTCCACACGTCCCTCTGTAGATTGTCAAGGGCGATGAGCCTGTCAGACAGGGAGGTTGGCAACAAGGCAGCATGTTCAGTTAAGGGAGTGAGATCTCGAATGGGGGGTGGAGTGCCAAAGAGGATCTCGAAGGGAGTAAGGTTAGGGGGTTTGGCTGACGGGGTGTTTCGCGCACGAAAAAGGGCATAAGGCAGGAGCATCGTCCAATCTTTTAAGCCAGTCTCATGAGCCAATTTAGTGAGGGTCTCCTTAATAGTTCTATTCATCCTTTCTACCTGTCCTGAACTTTGGGGTCTATAAGCACAATGTAACTTCCAATCAATCCCCAATATGTTGGCTAGTCCCTGACTTACCTTAGCCACAAATGCCAGCCCATTATCGGACCCTATTACCTTTGGCAATCCGAACCGGGGAAAAATTTCTTCCATCAACTTTTTTGTTACCATGGCAGCAGTTTCCTTTTTGGTAGGAAAAGCCTCAGTCCATCCAGAAAAGGTGTCCACAAAAACTAGCAGATATTTTAGTCCACATCGGGCAGGTTTAACTTCTGTAAAGTCCACTTCCCAGTATTGTCCAGGCCTGGTACCACGTAGCCTTTTGCCAGGGGCCAGCTTGGCAGGGTAGGTATTGGTCAATTGACATGCCTCACAATTAGTCACAACCCGAGTGGCGACCTGACGTATGGCAGTGGGGGATGCCCCCGGGAAGTCTTGGCGTTGGGCCAGTAGGCACAGCTTTTTAACTCCCAAATGGGTGAGCCGGTGGGCCTGTTGTATGTAAGTAGTCAGGTCAGATGCCTCAGGGGTTTGGTTAATCTGAGCTTTCTCTTTGGGAGGAGAATCTTTGATATCAGTCACCAACATCTGTGAGCCTCCCATGGCTGCAGATTTTGCTGCCTGATCGGCCAGGTTGTTTCCCTTCGTGACAGAATCAGTCCCTTTTTGGTGGCTATTACAGTGTATTATCACCACCTTCTGAGGTAACATAACTGCAGCTAGCAATTGAAGGATTTCCTGTTTGTGTTTTATTTCTTTGCCTGCGGAGGTCAGAAGTCCCCGCTGGCGGTAGATGGCCCCATGGATGTGGGCCGTTGCAAAAGCACATCGGCTGTCCGTGTAAATGTTTGCTCACTTTCCTTTGGCGAGCTCCAGAGCCTTAGTTAAAGCGATCAACTCTGCCTTTTGGGCTGAGGACCCGTCCTCTAGCCTGCCTGTCCAGATAACACTGGAGTGATCGGTCATAGCCACCCCCGCATACCACTTACCTTGAATCAAGAAGCTACTCCCGTCAGTGAAGTAAGTCACCTCCGCATCAGACAGGGGGTAATCCAATAAGTCCGGTCGTACTCTGGCCTCTACCGCCAGGATGTCTTGGCAGGTATGGAGGATGGGTTCCGGAGCTTCTTCCGGCAGCAGGGTTGCCGGGTTGAGAGTCACCGGGGGTCCGAAAGTTATTTTGTCCTTGTTGAGCAAGAGACTCTGATAATGAGTAACTCTGGCATTTGAGAGCCATCTGTCCGGAGGTTGGCGGATGATACTTTCTAGCGTATGCGGGGCAATGATTGTTATTTTTTGTCCCAAAGTCAATTTATCAGCATCCTTGATGAGCAAGGCAGCCGCTGCAATGGCCTTTAAGCAGGGCGGCCACCCGCTCACCACAGTGTCCAGTCTTTTCGAGAGATAGGCCACCGGACGCCTCCATGGCCCAAAGGCCTGGGTTAGTACTCCTCTCGCTATTCCTTTCTTCTCTTCAATGAAGAGAGTAAAGGGTTTATCCACATTAGGAAGGGCCAGGGCCGGAGCGGATAGGAGGGCCCGCTTGATGGCATCAAAGGCCTGCTGGTGGTCTTTTTCCCAAACAAAGGGAGATCCCCCCTTCAGTAACGGGTATAGGGGAGCTGCCAAGGTTGCGAACCCAGGGATCCACAACCGGCAAAACCCTGCGGTACCCAGGAATTCTCGTAATTGTTTTTGGCTCTTCGGAGGGGGAATCTGGACCACAGTCTGTTTTCTAGCCTCAGTGAGCCATCTTTTCCCCCCTTTTAAGGAGTAGCCCAGGAAAATTACCTCTCGTTTACAAATTTGAGCCTTTTTTGCCGATGCCCTATATCCCAGGATAGCCAACTCACATAAAATGTCCTGAGTTCCACTGGTGCAGTCACCCTGAGAGTCCGCGGCCAGCAGCAAGTCATCTACATATTGAAGGAGGGTGAGGTTCGGGTGTTGAGCCCGAAAGGGGGCTAAATCCTTGTGTAGAGCCTCATCAAAGATGGTCGGGCTATTTTTGAAGCCCTGTGGGAGGCGCGTCCAGGTCAATTGTCCGGTGGACCCAGTCTCGGGGTCTGTCCATTCAAACGCAAACAAGGGCTGGCTATCTTTGTGCAAAGGCAAACAGAAAAAGGCATCCTTTAAATCCAGAACAGTGTACCAAGTCCTTGACGGATTCAAACCGCTGAGGAGATTATTAGGATTGGGTACGGTGGGGTGAATGTCCTCCACCCTGCTGTTGACCTCCCTCAAGTCCTGTACCGGTCTGTAGTCATTTGCCCCGGGCTTTTTGACTGGGAGCAGCAGAGTATTCCATGCAGACCGACAAGGAGTCAATACCCCTTGGTCTAAATGTCTCTGTATGTGTACCTTGATCCCTAGGTGAGCTTCTCTATTAATGGGATATTGTTTAACTCAAATAGGGGAGGCGGTGGCTTTTAGAGTAACCACTACAGGTGGTTGCTGGCTTGCCAGCCCGAGCCCAGCTGTCTTGGCCCAGGAGTCTTTAAAATCAGTTAGCCAGGCAGGGGCGATGGGCTGGGGGTCTTGGTGGTCATAGAGCCTATATTCATCTTCCAATTTTAGAGATAACACTGTAACCATGGGTTGCCCAACCTTTGGGTTACGGAATGTCACCTGAGGTCCTTGGGGCTCAAAGGAGATTTTCGCCCCCAGTTTGGTTAATAAGTCTCGTCCCAGGAGGGGAGCAGGGCATTCAGGAATAACCAGGAAGGAGTGTTTTACTTTTCCTTTGCCTAGGTCAACTGTGCGCTCGGTGGTCCACGAGCGATATTTGCTCCCGTTAGCCCCTTGAACTAGAGATTTCTTAGTTGAAAGGGCCCCTAAGGGGGCCTGAAGAGCCGAGTAAACAGCTCCCGTATTGACCTCGAATTCTACGGGAGTCCCCTCCACTTTAAACATTACCCTGAGCTCGGGGAGGGGGTCCGAGCCCCGAAGTCCCTAGTCCTCTTCATCTAAGGCGAGCATGGGGGCTCGGGGCCACTGCGAGGACTGTTTTTCTCGTTCCTCTCTGGCTCGTTTCTTTCTCAATTTCTCACAGTCTTTGATCAGGTGTCCTTTTTCCTTACAATATGCACATTGGTCAGGGTCTAATGGGGGGCGAGTGGGCTTTCCCTTTCCTGTCTCAGGTTTTCCCTGAATAACTGTGGCCAACATTTTAGCTAATTTCTTGTTCCGCCTCTTGTCTCTAGCTAACTCTTTTTCCTCTTCTGTCTCCCGTTTATAGTAGACTTTTTCAGCTTCCTTAACAAGATCCCTCAGAGTTAGGTCTTGCAGACCATCCAGCCTTTGGAGCTTACGTCTTATATCAGGAGCCGATTGTCCTATGAAGGCCATGGCTATTGAGCCTTGTCGGCCTTCCTCTTCAGGGTTAAAAGGCGTGTACCGCCGGTAAGCTTCCATCAGGCATTCCAGAAAAACTGAGGGAGTCTCAGTAGGCCCTTGGGTAACTTCCCTTACCTTGGCCAAATTAGTGGGGCGCCTTGCGGCCGCCTGGAGACCTACCATTAGAGTCTGGCGATAGATAGAAAGATGCTGCCTACCGGTAGGTGAGTTGGGGTCCCAGTTGGGGGCGCTTTAAGGGGAAGAAATCATCAATCAGGTCTGGTCTCTGGGTGGGTCTGCTGTTTTCTCCGGGAACAGCTTTCCGGGCTTCCAGAAGGATGCAGTCTCTCTCCTCGGTGGTGAACAGGACCCCTAGAAGCTGCTGGCAGTCATCCCATGTGGGTTGGTGGGAGAACATGATAGAATCCATTAAACCTGTTAACTTAGATGGATCATCAGAGAAAGGAGGGTTATTGTTTTTCCAGTTATAGAGATCTGAGGTAGAAAAAGGCCAGTACTGTAAAGCGGGCATCTGCCCTCCATCCGACCCGTCATCTATCATGGGCCCGTAGGGGCAAAGGGGGAGGGTAACAACCGGGTCCTCAGGCCGTAGCTTGCTTCGAGTGTTCTGGGCTGGGCCTGTGGGCCCCGGAGGTGTAGACCCAGAGCAAGCCATCGTAGGGAGCGGGGGATACAGAGGGGATGTGGGTATCGGAGGAGAAGAGGGGTTCGGCTCAGGTGAAGAGGGTGCTGAAGGAGAAGGAGCGCTCGATCCGGATGAGGAAGCTGGAGGAGAGAGTGGGTACAGAGGAGGTTGAGTCAGCTGGGAGGGAGGAGGCAGGTCATAGTCGAGCAAAGGTAGATCAGGCTGAGACTCGGGCAGGACCGGAGCCGGAGCGGAAGCGGGAGGTCCTTTCAGAGCTAAGAGTTTTGGTATAGAGGAGTCAGAAGGGGGAAGAAAGGGTTTCACCCACAGTGGGGGTTCCTCCCTGAGGTCCTGCCATACCAAGATGTAAGCGACCTGATCAGGGTGGCCCCCTTGTCCGGGGCGGAAGATGATGTTCTTAACTGCTAGGATGAGGGGCAGGTGGAAAGTCCCCTCCGGCAGCCATCCCACTGAAAAAGTGGGCCACTCAGTCGAGCAGAAATTCTGCCATTTACTCTTCTTGACCTGCAAGGAGAGATTGTGAGCCCTCTTCCGCACCTCTGACCAATGGTCGAGGGTGAGGGACAATGGGGATGAGGTCGACTGTCCCATGATGTTCTATGGTCACAGGGCGGTTAACGCAAGCGCGATACAACAAATAACTAAACACGACACCCACAACACACAGGACAAACAGGCCGGCCACTTCATTCTCACGCATCAGTTTCACTCCAAACGAGCCACCTTACAGGGTGTCTCCAGATTGGCCCGGATGAGTCACCTCAGAGGGTGTCTTCGATTTGGCCCGGATGGACCACAGATTGGGAATGAAATTCCCCAGACCAATAGGAAAATCCTATCGCAGACGGTGAGTCACGGAAAACCGTGTGGGGCGTCCCCCGGTCACCAGAGAACAGAGAACAGATAACAAAAACAGGTAACAAAAATTGCCCCTAGATCGGAGCCGTTTGGCTCGGGGCGTAAAATACTGGTAGATTGATCCTCAGAGTAAAAATAAGAAGCGACCGGTCGTACTCACCCACCGCAGAGCCGTTGAGGTCACCTCCCGTGAGGCGTGCTATCTCGCTGGGGCCTCCAGAATGTTAGGGCCGCCGCCGCAGGGAAAAAGACCCCAAGGACTCAACTCTTGGTGAGGGAAAAAAAGTTTATTTCCATGCGCATGGGGTCCTCCAGGCAAACGAGTGCGGAGGGCCCCGAGGGGAATTTGTGCAGGGTTTTTAAGGGCACAAGCGGGAAGCAAGCAGGTTTACAGAAGCAGATCGCATTGGTTAATTTTGAACGACGCAGGACTTTGGCAGATGCTGATTCAAGGGGTCTGGGGCAGAGTAACCATGGAGACTGAGGGTCCTGGTCTGATCTCAGAGTGCCAGGTATAACTCAGTCTCGTTTGAACAGCACATTCCTTTACTTATCTTTTCCTTTACAGAGGACAGAACATCTTGTGGTTAATGACTAGCAAATGCATTCCTTCCTGTCCTGCTCCGATATCTCAAGGAGGAATTAGGGAGTGAGACATTCCTTACAGCTCCGTTCTATAGCTCGGGGGGGGGGTTACATCACAAACGGGAAGTCGATTCTCTCCATGCTGCTCTTGAAAATTCCTATTTTTCCCCTCCTGTGACCCATCTGACCTCATGGTTTAACTCTGTACAAGCTCCTCAAAAAGACAGAGTCTGTGGCAACCCACTCAGGACCCCTTCTGTCTCTCAGAAGTTTTCCTTCCCTCAATAAATATGTTCCATTCTTAAACTCCAACATTCATAAAATTCATTCTTTAAATTTAGAGAACACAAACTCATACCTGACATATAGTAGGTAAGGAGTTTCATTACCCTATACCGTTAACATATATCATTACCCTATATCATTAACAAATTAACATAACTATACTTATATAATGTCTGAAATTTGTTCCTTCTCCTGCAGTTTTAAATGATTAATACAAATCACAGTGATTGTAGTCCTGGAAATATCTAAAATTGTCTAGTCAGTCATTATAAATGTAAAATAATTGGTTTGAATGTATTATTTAGCAAGAACTAGACATTGCAATTGCAGTAGGTTATATCTTATTAAAGAGAAGATTCACCTATAATTGTTCAGAAAATTTTCTACATTATTGGCTTCTTGAACAATTTTTCATTAGAAAAACTGTATTTTTGTCAGTTTCTAGAAGGCTGCTATTGTATTATTGAAAGCTGTCTGTAGGTCTCTAGGACCTTGCCTGTATTTTGAGGCATATTTGTGTTTTGAAATTTATATGAAGATTTATTTTTATTTTAGGATTAAACTTACTGCATTGACACTGATAGAGTGAAGTAACAGCCCACTGCATTAATTTCCATTGGGTCCTCGTGGCATTTAACATGAGAATTACTGAAGAGCTAAATTAGCTTCATACATACACAAGAATCAGTACTGTTACTGAGAGAGTTTTGGCTGAGACAGGACACTGTAGCCAGTGAGGCAGAACCAAGGAGCTCCTATCTCACCGACCCCTAGGAATTTACCTGTGACTCCAACATCCCTGCACCTAGGAATTTAGCTATGGTGCCAGACAAAGACCAATGGACTACTTGTGCATCCCTAATGCCCCCTCAAGTTCCACCCCAAACCTAGGTTGCTTATATGCCCCCATGCCACGAGTCCATGAGAGAGAAAGCCAGACTCCAGTGGTCAGGGGGTTTTTGTTTTCTCTCTTCCCATTCTCAGAATAAATGCCTCTTTTGTTTTATACTTCTCATCTTTTGGACGTACTATATAATCTTATCAGTTAGGATTTTGTGGCCCAATAGAGAAGCAGAATATAAAAAAAGTAAAAGTGTCCTTTCTATTTAAAGAATGTGGAGGGGAGCCTACAGCCACCAAGGGTTTGCCTTTTTTTCTGACTGATTATGGGATTATGGGGTATATGTGAAATTTTGCTCTATGTGGCGCCTGGCACTGACATTGATATCATGCAAGGAGCTGATAGGAATTTTCTTTGGGCCCCTGGGAAAGGAATGAGGAAGTTGCATTCAGGGAAAAAAAGAGGAAGTAGCCATATGGGTAATCATGGCTGATTTGAATTTAACCCTGATGAACTACCATCATGATGTCCTGTAATTTATTCTAGGTCAAAACTCTTTCAAGTACATCCTTCAGTTTGAATTACAAAATGAAAATAATTTTTGCTACGTGTCTTCTTCCACAGTTAGTGGTAAACAATTCACAAGAAAAGTTTTTAGTCATTGCCTTGATGCATTGTACAAGTAAACAAAACTACATATCAGTTCACTTTCAGAAAACAAAAGCAACACTTAAAGGCAAGGATAAAGCCCTTCAGTGCAAGTGTCCCTTAAGAGATGAGATCAACATTTAAGAATATGATCATCTACTGATTTCACTGACTTCAAGAAAAAGAAAAATTTATAGTGGTATTGCTACAGCGGAAAGAAACTCCCGGTCTACTATGCTGGTATGAGTTTATGTTCTCTGAAGTAAAAAAATGAATTTTAGGAACAACAAAAGTCAAGATAATATACTTATTTGGAGAAAGACAGCTGTGGGAGACAGCAAATTCATCCTGAGTGTGTTGGCAAGACTGTCTTTTTCAAGGACTTTTATAGAGTAAAATCACGTGGTGAGATGGGTTTAAGTTGGAGAAAACTGGGATCCTAAAATGCAGATGGGCATAAGATGGGACAGATCTATGGTTGTCAATAAGATAAATAGTCCAGGTAAAGTTAATTAAATTGGGAACAAAGGGGGAAGGGAGTCACATAGAAAGCAGGCATTCTTAGGCAGCAGTGAATCTTCCCTTAGGAGGTTGGGAAGGTGACTCTTGATCGGAACTAATTACAATATCAGTCTTTAGGATATGGAGACATTTATTTGAATGGTGACTCCTGACTTCCTCAGAGTGTTAGGGAACTATTTAGAATATCAGTCCTTAGAGTATGGATGAATTTGTTGATTTTCTGTCTTGAGGCTTGGCCCACAGCAGGAGCTATCCATTGTTGTAACCTAGTTCTAACCAATGGACCAACTTTCTGTTCTGTATGCGCTATTTCAATAGAGATTAAAATTCCATCTCCAGTAAAGACTTAAATTTCAGCTCCTTGTAAATCGCCCTCCCCTCCCTATTCTTTTTAGATTAAGTAAACTTTAAGTTTCAGTTTCTTGTAGCCCCCCATCCCCCTTCACCCTACCTGCAATACAATGTGCTGTTTTTTAGAAAAGTTTAACTACAAGGAAGTTATCAAACTGGGTAAAAGTTTGCAACATTCCTGTGGTTTTTGGCATTTTTAGCTATAAGGCTGGCAGTCTCCACATTGGCTCCTGGAGATTGCATTGTGAGGCCTGGCCTAAAATAAAGCCTTTGCTTCCCAAATTTTAATTTCTTGCTTCCTTGGGTTTTATTTCAGAGTCCAAAGTATCACATCCATCTTATACATAGGTGCAAGGTATCTGGGTTTCTGCATGGGCTCCTTGGAGGACCTAGCCCTGTCTCACTGTCAATAGTATTTAACTAACTCAATTTCCCATAACAGTATTTTTCTGAAAATTGAATACAGATGTTTTGTGCTCTGGGTGACTGATCTGGGGATGACAGTGTGCAATGTATATACCAGTGTTGCCCCCTGATTCACATGTTCTGAAATTTAGTTTTAGTTTATTTTTTTTATCCTTGAAATAAAATGTATTTGGAAATGAAAAGCCTGAAGTAAACCCCTTTGGTAAACATATTCCTCTGTGTAGCTGAGATCAACATTGTAGAAGACAGCCAGCTACAGAAGTCTCTGACTACAGTCTATCATTTGGGATCCTCTCTTGCAGAAGGGAGTTCCTTTCCCTGTTTATTTTTGACTCAGAAGGAGGGCAGTAGAGCAGCAGTCAATCAGTGATGAAGAGGCAGGCTATATGAAATGTCCAATTAGGTGAGCCATGACAGGCGGTCTCTTGGGTCTCTTCCATTGTCTAGGCATTATTTACCTGTTTGGAGCACAAAACTGGGAGCAGAATACTTGCTGCATCTCATTTCCCGGTTTTGAAGTCCTGTGGCCTGATTAGCAAAATCCTGGGAGACCCTCTAACCACAGAATGGTGAGGCTTTGGATGGGAGGCCAGAAATAGGGTGGAATTGGAAGAAACCAGTTACAAGTGTTTAGAAACAGTTCTGGTGTCTGTAGACACAAGTATTTAGACAGCTTCAGCTCCTGATGTATTGTAGCATTGGCTTTAGGTCATCCACTGTCCCTTTTTACTCCTGCTGGGAGTAAGCATAATTTTGTGTCCCCAGAACCCTGACCTAACTATGATAGCAACAGACTGGAGTATCATCTTTGAAATTCTCTACTACCCTGGCACCTCCATTATAGGGGGCAGCAGAAGGAGCTTGGGGAGACCCTGACTCTGATGAATTTTGTAGCTGGAGCAGCAGTACTGAGCTTGGTCTCTGTTCTCATTCCAGTTAGCAGCAATCTTTAGGTTCTAAAGTTTATAAATATCTGTAATGCAGGGCCTCATATCCACAATGGCTCTCCTTAAACTTGTGCTTTTTTGTATTTATAGGGATTGCCTAAATTTATGGTATATTCTCGCATTTCCATCCTCAGGACAGGTGTTGGCAAAAGTCCTAATA